GCCGTATGCTTGTCGCTTTTCCAGTACACATCAACTCTTTCATGGGTTTGATCTCTGAAAGCTTTGTACCCGTGTCGATTCTCCATTTTGTGTTCACGTTCATGCCATCACAGCCTATTGGAGTGGACCACTCCTCCTCCGGCGACGACTGCTAATTCATCTTTTACCACGTCTTCTACCACTTCATCTGCTACTTCTTTTCTTCTTCTCTTGCTGCTGGTGCTGCTGCTGCCCCTCCTACTACTACTACTACTACTCCTCCTCCTACTACTTCTACTACCACCGCTACTACTCGCACTACAACAACGTCTACACTTTGCCTTTCATGTCTGAGACATGAAGGTGCAATCCAGCAAGTTCGCAGCCGCTCACACGGTCTCTGAAGCCCAGGGGGCTGCTTCCGGAACCCGAAACGTTCCCAAACCCCCCACCTCGAAGCCTAAGCCCGGAAGTTCTGTTCCTGTCGCGTTTCTGAAGGAAGCTGGTCCGCTGCCAGTCTGCACCGGCTTGCGGGCGCAAGCCGCCCTCCGACAACTGGGACGAAGGACCCGAGATAGTGCACATTGGGTTCTTGAGGCTCCCATGATGTTCTTGGTGTTCAAAAACTACACAGGTTTGAGGTTCAAAGCTTCAGGAGTTTTGGGATCTTCGTTTCAGGGCCCCGGAAGTTCGAGTCGCCATAGTCTGCTCCTGTCTGCTCAAGTTTTGCTCGGTTTCATCGACCTAGGTGTGGGAGAGAAGCCTCGTCGCTTCGAGCCGCTTGATGATCTCGCTTATATCGGAGTTTTTGCGACAGATTCTGTGCGCAGGTCAGGTTCTGAGGCTTCAGCCTTGAGCAAGGCATTGTAAGGGTCCTGCACTGGAAATGGTACGACTGAAGATCAAAGTGAGGTATAACTCGAGTCTTGAGCCGTCCTACAAATCTGGCATACACTGCAACGGAAAAAACAAGCTTCGGCGACGTCTCGTGACTTCCTGTCCTCGGCTCCTGTGGGCTCCTCACAATCATAAGCTGCGACGCTCCCAAACCTGCTAAACTCTAAAGGACACCACGGAACCCCCAAGAAGCCTTGGAGGCTCCAGCACGACGGCCTCGGTGGCACCGAGGCCCGCCTCGGCTGTGGCGCGGCTGCAGGCGGAGCGTGCTCTTTGGGGCTCTGCTTCGGTTTTGGGGATGCAGCAGGAACATGCTTTTCGGGTGTAGGGCTTCGGGTTTCGAGTCGGCGTGCGGCTTACCTCGGCACAACTCAAGAGAATAATCTGTATTTGCCAGTCTTCATACTCGAGCAGATACGTAGCATAGTAGTTATTGTTTTCCTTTTTTCTGTGGTTCCCGGTGGTAGGCAACATGTCCCGCTCTGCCACGGCAAAGCTGTAAGAAGTCTTTGTTTCTGTGGTTGGTAGAGGTAGAAGCTTCCAGCTTTGTTGGTGAGCTTTTTGTGCGTCAAAGGTTTCTAATTTGATGGGTTTTGCTAGACTAGCGGTTCTAGTATGATGACGACCAACAGCAGGAAGAACCATGCCTGCTGAGCCCCAACCTCGCAGGCGCTCTTGTGCCGGAATGAGGAGATTTTCAAGGCCGCTGAGAGGGGGATTCGGTAGCTTTGGTTGGTTCTTCTTGTGATGTCTGTCAATAGGGTTTCATCTTCAATGCGGCTCAAGAAACTTATCCGCTTGTCCCTTTGGAGTTTCACGTATCGGGTGTTGGGGCCCTGCAAAGGTACGTGTAGGGGCTATAACTTATAATGAGCTATAATGAAACACTAGTCAGACCTCTGTATCAGCTTGGCGTCAAGCCCGGAGCTCCGATTTCCCAAAGCTTGTGGATAGTAGGCAGGCGCACATCCTTTCTGCCTTAGGTTCGCCGGGCTTGCTACCTGAGCCCCGGCCAGTGACCGCGCAACGGATGAAGCATCATGCGACAGATGCTCGATCGTAACATTCTAGACATGGTTAGTCAACCAGCAGCAGGATTGACATGTCAACACAACGATCTGCTTTGAAGTCCATGCGCGAGGAGTTTTTGGGCCTTAAGTCTGTTGTACCCTTTGCTCTGACAGGCCTGTGTCTACTGCGTGTAGGGTAGGGCTAGGCGACTTTCTGTGTATGTTTGTAGGCATCGTCGTCGAGATGGACTGCACGCCCAAGCCTGGAAGCCAGTCCAGTCCCTGATTGTTCAATGCCAAATGTTTTGAAGCCAGATATGAAGAAACTGCAAGCCTCAAAGCCCAGAACTTTCAATGGTATGTTATATGCTGTGTTCTCACACGGTCAAACTCACAGTAAGCGCTTCGATCTGACATCTCTGGTCCCGTGAATTCGACACAGCGCAAGACGCGCTTGAGCTTCAAGTGGGCAGACCTTTGTCGTCCACCATGATGCTGGTAGTTTGTATCGCCATGTATAAGCGCTATGGACGATAGTGAGGACGAACATGACGGCATGAGGTGCTGATGCTGGTGCCGGTGGCGGCTTACTGTTTGTGCCCAATCTATTGGAATACCTTGATCGCACGCATCCATGCACGATACGTCTTCGCACATACACGGATGAATGCTGTTATGGTTTTCCCTGCATGTGAGCGGGGTGACTCGGTGTGGCCTGTGTTTAGGTTGCACATACCGCTGCTGCACCAAAAATACACACTTGCATAGGGCATAGGGTTCGCCCGAGCGTGAGTGAATGCCTCTGCCTATGTCCTCCGCAACAACACGCACACACAAGCGGAAAGAGAGTGTGTAAGACAGGCAGAAGATAGACACAGACAGACAGAAAGAGATGTAGACTGTAGACGGACGAAGAGACGCAGCGACACGTCCCCCCACCCACCCACCCACCCAC